AAAAATTACTTCTTAAATGAATTGGCCAAACACAAATTGTTTTTTTAAAAGTACTTCCGAAAAAAGTATTCCTTAAAGAGATTTTTACATTCTTATACACTATATGAAACTATATTACCCTCTCTGTTCAAATTTTACTATAATTACATTTTATATACTCAATTACCATTTATGTACATTTTAAGGGAATTAATGATAATAATTAGTGTCCTAAAATTACTCTAACATATCTTCCAATCGCCCACGTTTCTCTCTCCACATCCCATTCCCCTCCCCCACGTATCTTGCACCCACCCACAATTACATCATTGACAACCATTAAAAAACTTTGAATTCGAATTTGGGTTTTCAAAAAATATTACTTGTTTGAATTTGATGTTGTTGCAAAGAATTGTGAATTCTCTCTACGTTTCTCTCTATCTCTCAATCCCTAATTTTAGTAATGTAAAGCAAAGGAAAAGAGAGCATCAAGTCCACCCTTGACAGCCATTAAAAAACTTTGAAGCTTTGAATTCGAATTTGAGTTTTCAAAAATCATTATTTGTTTGGATTAGGTGTTGTTGCAAACAATTGAGAATATGGTTTGGAGTTTATATCTCAATTTTAAGGGGTTTTGGTGAAGATTAGACTTGGTTTTGGCTGAATTTCAGATTGAAACTCGAAGAAGAAGAAGAAGACACGATATACATTATATTTACGAAATTGTAGTAAAATTGTAGAAAAATTGTATTCTGTTGTTTATATATTTTTCTTTTATTTATTTAACTATTGTATAAAAGTTGAACAACATTATATTGAGATTATATTTAAGTTGTATGATATTGTAGTTGTATATAACTGAGTAGAAATAATATATGAAAATTGTAGATAAGTTGTATAATATATAATTAGTTGTATGAAATTTATTTTTACTATGTATAAATCAGATACAAAATATACAAAAGACATATTGTATAAATTTTGTATAAATTTTGTATTTAAGTTGTATGTTAATGCGGGAAGCAAGACTTAGATGGTTCGGGCACATTCAGAGAAGGAGCACTAATGCATCGGTGAGGAGGTGTGAGCGACTGACTGTGGTGGGCACAAGAAGAGGTAGAGGGTGACCTAAGAAGTATTGGGGAGAGGTGATCAGATAGGACATGACGCGACTTAGGATTACTGAGGACATGGCCCTTGACAGGGAATTGTGGAGGTCGAGCATTAAGGTTGTAGGTTAGGGGAAAATTGTGAACAATAGAGTGAGACTAGCCAGTTAGGAGTTAGTCTGAGAATGCTACTGGTCGTCTACTGATGCAGGGCTTTATCTGCTGGTTTTTACTATATCATCCATCTATTTCGTATTTCGTATCTCTTATATTGCTGTTATTTTATTATGAGTCTATTTATGGTACTAATATATCGTCTCTTGTTGCTTTCTTGAGCCGAGGGTATCCTGGAAACAACCTCTCCGCCCCTCGAGGTAGGGATAAGGTCTGCGTACATATTACTCTCGCCAGACTCCACTTGTGGGATTATACTGGGCCGTTGTTGTTATTGTAGTTGTATTTAACTGGATAAAAATAATGTGTGAAAGTTATAGATAAGTTGTAGATGATTTGTATTGAGCAGACAAACTTCAAAGCCATTATGGATAGTGGGACATCCTTTACATTTCTCCTGGATCAAATTTACGATAGAGTCGTTAAAGAGGTAGGCTTACAACTATTTGATGCTTATTGCACTTTAAAGTGCTATATTTTTACAAATCCTTTTTCGGTCCTTTTCCGCTTACAATTTGATAGGGAAGTGAATGCAACAAAAGCCAGGATTGAAGGATATCCCTGGCAATATTGCTACAAATCCAGGTAATGGAATATAAGAGAAAGAGAGATGCACTTTCTTTTTACTTAATATAAATCATTCTTAAAATGTCCTCAACATAAGTTTCAAAAAAAAAAGAAGCAGCTTCTTCTTTTTTCTTCATTCTTCTTTCTCGACTTCACACTGAACTAAGTACTATTTTCTCTTCAGAGCTCTCCACATTTCTCATGGAAAATCTCTCACATTCATTTTCTAAAAAGAGTTACCACCATGGAAGCAGGTTCTTTACAACGGCAAGCAAGTCATTATACGATGACGTTTTTGGTGGCCCGCCGAAGTTCAGGGTACCAACACTAGCTCCTCGTTACGAGAATTATACTGAGATTTTCGGAGGTTTTCACTCTTTTCGTGCCCCTAAGGAGTTTTTACACCATTAGTAGAGCACAACTATGTTTTAAAATGTAGAATTGAGATTCGCCGGGGCTCGCCCCGGAGCGGAGCACTCGTAAAATGCCCCTGGACTTATGTGGGGCTTAGTTACGTGGGACTTACGCCTCGGCCATCGGGGCTTACACCCCGGACACGCCCAACGCCCAGTATATTGGGCTCGCCTAATAAAACTTTATGCAATTGTATATAACTAACCTTGTAAATCCTCAAATTTTCTTAATAAATCGTTTATTATTCAAAATTATTTTTTCTTAATCATAAATCATTAAGTTGAGAGTATTTTATGTCATAATTAAAATAAAAATTATTGCACATTATCCACTAAGACTGCTATGATAGTTAATTTTAAATAAATTTTTCATTTAAAAATATTTACTGATTTATTAACTTTTGTTATGTCTTTACTATATAATAATCCATATTTTTTTATAAATTTTTCTAAATATTTTTTCCCACGTTTACGAGATACAATACTTATTAATTTAAGAGCTCGGTATTAGCTAGTAAATATTTACAAATAATTAGTTATCATGGTATTGTATGGTGTATTATATGTCACTTTATTAACTTGTTGAAACTTAAAATAAATGATGCTAGAGAATCATATTGAAATTGTGAATTATGTTTTTATATAAATTCTCTTTCAAATAGAAAGCATATTAAATAAAAAGAGTATTTTATGAAAAATATCAAATTATAATATCGAAATTATTTCAAGATCCATTACTTCTTAAGGAGATACATATAAGATTTCGTATCAAATACATTACTTTTGATGTTTGAGTTGTAATGACATTGCAGCTAATTTGCATATTATGATATATGTCATACTTTTCGTATTATTCATAGTTGAATTATACTTTATAAAAATTTTAAATAGATTATTTGTTATAATTTTGTTATTTTAATGTAACTTTTATAATTATTTTTTATTTTATACTATTTAAAAATTATTGAAATTAGTAAAATTTAAAGATTCATGAGACTTATGCCCCATGTCTCAGGGCTTAAACCTCGCCTCGTCAGAGGTAAAACGCATCGCCTCAACC